TTCCCTCTGGGATGTAAGGCCACATTCAAATTGACAACTGCTACATTCAACACTGCCAAAAATGAATACAGAGCAAATTTTAACCAAGGACAAAGGGGCACACTGCTGCTGTAATAACAAAAAAAAAAGCGCCATAGGAGCTTTAGCAGTATATTTCCATCTAGGCTCAAGATCAGCCTCTCTGTCTGCAAAGTCAATTTATGCCCACAGAATTCCTGCCAGCATTTTTCTAGCAACACTCTAAGCCATGAGTGTACAACTGCATGGGTCATTCTCCATTTGATTTACATTCAGTCTAATAAACAGAGGGAATTAAAATATGCAAGTTGTGTGAGTTGATGAACTCACAAAATAAGGACAACTACCTCTACATATATAAAGCTGGCAAGAATTTGGTTTTACATGGTCACCTAAGACACCTGCAGATGGCAAAATGTTCCAATCATGGAGGGGTCTAGTCTGTAGCAGTGGAATCACATTTTGGTCTCAGGTAAATCACACAACCATTCTAGTTCACCTTCTCTTTTTAAAGGATCTGAAATAATAATACACATTTGCCTAACATCAAGGGTATTGTGAGAATTAACTAATGCTAGTGTGCCCTCCAAACATGCAAAGGACTGTATGGAGCAAACGATTTAACAAGTTTTGCAGAACAAAGCTTTGCAATAACCTCGCTGAATTTAGAACATACCATTTCACATAACAGATTTTTTTTGAAATGGGATGTCTGTATCAAGCTGGAAAATGTTATTCTTTCAGCTGAAGAAAATATTTTATAAGCTTTAATCGTCTACTAGAAACTCTCACAACATCTTCTCATACGGTATGTTTAAGCTGCTAGGAAGCACACTGAGGGCAGCGTGTAATCTGTGAGTAGAATATCAAGTGGGATAGTCAATTATTTTATTGAATGAAGTTGGTAATACTCAGATACTATTATGTTTTCTATATTTACTTTGCTTGCTTCTTTAGTTTTTACTGTATTTTCTTTGGTTCCCGTTCGATTAGAAAAAAACCAAGTATTTTGTTAAGAATATTAGATGATTAGAGAACCCTTGTAGCCAGGTAAGTAGTCATTTAAGCTGAATATTTTACTTAATTATAATTAAATACTACAAACACAGTCCTTAAAGCATAACTACAAAGTAGTGAAAGGAGATGATCTTACCCTTTCACTTACTCAGCAACTCTTCTGAAATCATCTCATGTATCATCTCCTATTCTTATGTCCACATCACCAGATCCATCATGTGACCTTTTGCCTTCAGCTCACTGATACAGGGTGTCTTACAGTTACAAAATGAGGTCTGAGACTGAGGTTTGTAGGAGCAGAGAGGTGCCTTCACAGAGTTGCAGAGTGCCCTTGAATCCCGCAGCTCACATTGAGGGAGGTCAGCAGATCTCTGCAGACATGGTTTCTCACCTAAATTATCAAGGAATATGCACTGGCCCAGAGACTGCACTGCAAGTCTGCATGCAGGGCAAGGGTAAGGGAAGAACATATCTCTGCCTTCAGCCTTGCTGGGCAAGACTGCTAAGTCAGAACAGGTTATCATGAAAGACTGGCTGAAAGAATATTTGAGGTCAACACTGCCTTGTCTCCCTGCAGGAGGGCTGTTGCTGCTACAGCACATTCCCTGCTCAACTCTTACACTGAACTGCAGAAATATGACATAATTTTCATGCTGTTTCCCTTCCTCACACAACTTGGGAAAATAGGTAAACTCCATCCAAGAGTAACTGCAACCACAGAACCATCCTCCTGGTCCTTTCCACTTGCAAATGTTGATTGGTCACCTCTTTTCTGTGGATTCTCTGATGCAGAACTTTCCTTTTTCATCCCTCTGCTAGATGCTTATCACCACCTCCTCCCTCAGCATTGCTCAAGTAAAAGGCTGCTTCCCAGACTCCTGCCAAAAACGTCAGCTATGCCAGTGACTTTGTCAGTGCTCTGTTTGCCTGTGATCCCAATCAAAACAAGCATCTGCAGGACACTAAGTCCCACCTGCTAACATCTCTGCAAAAGTGCAGCTACATTATGTGTACTCTGAAATGGTAGCAGGACTCCTTACTTATTGCAGGATCAATAACTGCCTTCTTAGATTATAAAACACTTAGTTCCAGTTCTCAACAACTTCTGACTTCCTCTGCCATTCCACACACTGTTATCACAGGTAGTCTCAAGACTTTGTTACCTTCTTTTACTTCCTCTTCTCTGCAATAGCTTCACCTCCAGGATTCTCCTTCTGAGGTCAAATCTCAGCTGAGAGGTTTTGTTTTAACCTTCTCTCTTCATTTCTTTTCTCTTCTCTGTTTGTCCTCCTTAAGATTCAGGAAAGTTTAGGAAAAACATTCCATAAAGAAGCTTAGATTAAAAGTGCTATACATAAAAAACTTCTCTTAATTTCTCTTTATTACTATCTGGGGTAAAAAATTCTACTCACATATAGTTTACTTATTTTTAATGTGAAATAACTTCAGCAACTTAAACTTTATTCACCGTGGAAGTAACATTTTAACCATGCTACCAAACCCTGCAGTATTTAACACACACAGGGCAGTAATGAATATAAAGAAAGCCACAGCAGCGGTTTGGTATACATATGAGACAGTTGACTCAGAAGCCTGTAGCAGCAGCTCTCTGAAAAATCATGCATGTCAGCATTTCTTGTACTAAACTGTACCCTCTTTTGCATTTGAAAAAATAAATTAAGCAGTTGTCATGAAATTTATTATATCCTTTTGGAAAAACATTATCCTCAAGACACCAGTGAGCTCTAAGTCTTAGAAGGGAAAAGCTATAAACCTTGAACTAAGGAGCTAACACTAGAGATTCATCTGTCAGATGATGCACTGTTTCATGAGAACAATGTGAAAAGAATCATTCCCTCTCAGTTCTCTGCAATTTAACATGCAGCCACTGCCATGCTACATTTGCTCCATCATCCCGTTCTGAAACACTAAAATAGTGCAGACACTGAAGGTCGAAAAGTTTCCTCCTGCAATATCCTGCAGCAGGGCACTGCAGCAGGGCAGTGCCATGCCAGCAGGATCACACAGATTTGCTTCATGTTTCAGTGAGGTAACATGAACCGTTTGAACAATCTCCAGGTAATCTGCATTAAAACCATTTTACTGCAGTGTACTGCGGTATTAGGAAAGATTTCAATATCGCACCACGTGATGCAACACAACCTTACAGCACTTGGCAGTTCCTAGGCAGTGATGGAAAGCTTTGAATCGATGGCTGCAATGTAGCAACTTTCCATTTTTACAAAGTAATATGACAGACTATTTTGGCTCACTATGTTAGTGTATAGCACGAAATGATACAAAATTCCTGGAATAAAATATTACACACCTAAAAGCCAATTTTTTTTTTCTTTCTTTACTTGCCCTCCCCAATTTGGTATCATGAGGCTCTTTCAATGATAATGGACTTCCCTAACCTTAAGGATACAGTACACTCGTACAATGTTATTAACTCAGTGATAAATTAGTTTTGCTAATCTATAAATTATTTTTCCTGTTCTTATTTAAGCTACCACAGATATGTCTCTCTGTCCTACCAGGTTGCATATTTTGTAATTTAATTTAAATTTGAACATATGTCTTTCATATATAGTTTCATGGCAGTCATATAAAGCTGTAACATTTCAATGTTATTCCAATATTTACACAGAGATTTTAATTAGTTCTATAAAGTTTTAGAAATGTTCCTCAGATTTATGTAGTGACATCAAAGATGCATGAAAAGCACAAGAATTTTGCCTTGAATGAACCTTTTTCACCAGGAACACAGGCAAATGCCATATTGCAAAATGGTACCTGGATATATTTTCAGCAAATGATTTTTTTGGTGCATGTTTAACAGTGTTGAGGGAGTTTAGAACTGCATTTCCAAAGACCTCTGAAACAGTCTTTGAAAGTCTGGAGTATCACAGTAGCAGCTACAGAGGTAGCAACGCAGGTGAACTCCTGTTATCATCTGCATTAGCAACCTGCACATGCCAGGATTTCGATGCTACCTGCGATGCCTCAGCTCCGGCCCGGCGGTACGCGAAGGGCACGGGCGATGACATCGGCTGCAGCTCCTTGCAATTTCCTGCAATGAGAGGGTCCCTGCAGGTGCTGCTCTGTCCAGCCTCTGCGCCAGACAACTTCCCCGCGGCTTTCACGTAGGACACGGCTGGGAGAGCGTGCAAAGCACACACGGCGTGGGGGGCGAGGACAGCGCGGGCACCGCCGGTGACAGCCCTCTGCGGGGCCGCGTCCCGGAGCGCTGCCCGGGGCCTCCCTTACACAGCTGTCACCTAAATCCCAGCATCGGGGACACGGGGCAGCAACGCACGAGGGTCCTGGTCACCTTGTCAGGGTGGACCTCATTAGCGCTTCCCATTCCCTTCCCCCACCACAGCTTTGCCACGAAACCCGCTGCGATCGGCACCTCGGGTCCAGGGTCCACCACAGAGCCCCTTCTCCCGCCAGCGCCCACAGACCTGGGCGGGCACTCGCTGCCGCCCCGCGCCCCTCGGCCGAGGCCCCTCTTTCCCCCGGGGGTCCCCCCGTACCTCGCACCAGCCATTTTCCGCCTCCCTCTGCCGCAGCTCCAGCGGTGATGTCACCGGCCGTCCCGGCCGAGTCCCCGCCGCTCGGCGATCCTTCCTCCCTCCCGGCACCGGCGGTACCTTCCTCCTCCTCCTCCCGCTGCCCCGCCCCGCCGTGCCGTGCCGTGCCCGCCCGGCTGCCATGCAGCGCCCGGCCCCGCCCCGCCCGCCGGTGCCCGCGGGCGCTCCGGCTCTGCCCGCCACGCTCCCCGCTCCCGGCAGCCGTGCGGGCGCCGAGGGGAAGCCCCACCGCAACCATCACCGCGGCGGCGGCTGCTGAGTCACGGCCTGAATCTCATCCCGCTCCTCCTCCTTCTCCTCCTCCTCCTCCTCCTCCTCCTCCCCCGCGCCGCCGCCTCCCGCCCGGCTGCCGGCTCCAGCAGCGCGGTGCCGGCGGCGATGCCCGCCCCGCTGCCGGGGGGAGAGGCTGCCCGGCGCTGCCCGGCCCCCCGGCGCTGCCCGGCCCCCCGCCGCTCGCCGCAGACCCGCGCACGCACAGGGGCAGCCGGGCGCTTGAGCCATGATTGCCGCGGCTTTCCTGGTCCTGCTGAGACCCTACAGCATCCAGTGCGCCCTCTTCTTGCTCCTGCTGCTGCTGGGGACCATTGCCACGATTTTATTCTTCTGCTGCTGGCACCGCAGGCTCCAGAAAGGGAGGCATCCCATCAAATCCGTCTTTTCGGGTCGCTCAAGGAGCCGAGGTAAGAGATGCTGCTAGTCCCCGAGGGCGGCGGGGGGTGCTCCCGACCCATCCCGCGGTTTCTGCCAGCGGAGGGCCGCTCTGCCTCGGTTTAGCCGGGCAAGGGCTTTAAAGAAAATTCAAGCCGAGCCGAGGACTGCGGCAGCCTTGTCTCCACCCATCCCTTAAAGAAACGTCGGCTAGCGGGAGCGAGGTGAGGGGATGGGAAACCTCCCAGCCCTCCCCGGTCTCTCAAGTGTAGCAGAACTTTATGCTGAACTTCTTCCCGATGAATTAAATATAAATGCCGGGCGGAGCTGCCAGCTGCGCCGGGAGGGCCAGACCCGTCCCGAAGTGTGCGCCAAAGGGCGAGTGGAGGGGTAAACCCGTTAGCCGGAGCGAAATGCGAGGTGGAGCTGGTGGAGCCTGTGTGTCTTTCTGCTTGCCTTCCAGATGCTGTCATGAGAACTCATCACTTTCGCTCTGAGGTAATTTATTTAGCACGCAATTTCAAGGTCAGAAGTTGTTCTCTTTACCCGAGTACATATTGTCGTGGTCTTTTGTTAATGAAATCGCATGGTGAACTTTTCATTTTGCATGAAAAACATAATGCCCTCTTTCATTTCTTGGTCTGTTTTTTTCCCCCCCCAACACAAAATGAGCTCTTCATCTGTGTTACCCTAACCGGCTTGCCGATTTGTGTCATTCCCAAAGGTATTGGTTACTTGGAGGAAGGCTTTGCTTACTGTATGTGTCAGACCTCCCTCTGTCCAAAAGCAACCCTGAGCCCAGTTATTGACTGCACTGTAAATACGTGCAGAGCTGGTCAGTTTTGCAACTGCAGAACCTCTTGTTTTGCCACCAACCCTCACCTGTACCCTGCTCCTTGCCAGGGAAGTTGCCTGCTTGGCTTGGATGTTGCCGTGGGAGATCCCAGAAGGATCCAGACTACAAGCCTGTTTGGCATGCAGCTCAGTGTGACTTTGTATTCATAGATCAGGGGAATCAAAACTCTTACATGCCAGTGCTGAAACTATAACACAAACCCCAGACAATTCCTAGTGATTCTGAATGAGGAGCATAATTACTGGGAAAATATGTAAAATAATATTTGGTTTAGTATCCACTTTGTTTCCATGCTGCCCTGTAGAGCTCCTGTCTAGATATTTCTCTTGCCTGGTTTCCTGCTATTGATTTAAGGCATATCTTCATGCCATTGCCTCATATTCTGGAAGCCTTGAGAGAGAGTTTTGCACTAAAATGATCTTTTGTTTTAAATGATTTGCATTTTTTCTTAGCCAGCTGTGGGTGTGAAAATTACCCAGTTATGACTAATGTTTTCAAAAGTGTGCACGGGATATATTTTTGCAATGTGGTTCATACTGGCAATTAGTTTTAAACTCCTAAGTATTTTGAAATTTGTACACACTGTCACAAAAAGAAGATGACATAGGGAGTGTCCTATCTTTGTGAAAAGCCCAGGTTTGTTGTTGACTGAACAGTGCTTCAGTAAACTCAACAAACAAATGTGTCCCTCTAGAAATCAAAAGATTTTTTTCATTATTTAGTTTATCCAATATTACATGGTTTCCATGTAAAATTCATTCAATCCTGAGCCTAGATAGAGATGAAGTTTAATGTGTTACACCCTTTTGAAATACGTGCCATCCTGCATGGTGACCCTTAAAAGGGAAGTTTGCAGAGTAATTTATTTTTATTGCTTCACCATGTGGTTATTTGCGTATCACCCAGTCAGAAGTAGATGAATATAAAATATTTCCTAGAAGTTTCCATTTAGTGAAACACTCTAAAATAAAGCGATAAAAACTGTTATATTCTTTCATAATTGTCTACATTGTGTTTACATAGAGTAACACTACAGCTAGTGGTCTAAACTGCCCTTTTAAATAAGTAGTGGAGCTGTTTTCCCCTTTATTATCTGATGAGACTTTTGATTCTTAAGAGAAAACAATGACTCATTTGACATCATTAAATTTTCATTTTCCAATTTTTTTTCAAGTAACATGTTATTTTAATGAATCTAATGGAATAGATTAATGAAAAAATTACAGGCATACTTCCATTAAAAATATTGGAAGCATTATCTGAAGCAGAATTTGACATTCTCAATCTATATCATCACAAAACATCACACACTTCCAACTCCAATAAGATGCTGATGAAAACAAAGAGTTATACATGAAAATATGGGCTTTGCATACTCCCCCACCCCCAAATGAATATAACATCTCAACTCCAAGTTTTATAGCACAAGGTACATCTGCTAGCTCCTGCCATACTTAGTTGTTTGTCAGGTGTAGTTATAAATGGTGTTTCTTAATTACATAGAAGATAATGAAAATTGATAGTAAATAGCAGTGGGTTGGCATTCATCTCCTGAGAGCTGCATTCAAATCTGACTTCCCTCACATGTGAACGTGCAGGTGGTCTAGCAGCAGTGCACAGAGAATTATAATTGCCCTATCTACAGAACGGTTGGCAATTCCTGCATGATTGACTGCCTGCCAGGAAAGCCTTATATTTGGAAAAATAGATATGTGCAAATTTATGTTGAGATTCTTAGCCAGAGCTATAGCTCTTATGGTGCATGCCTTCATTGTCTATGTGCACTGAGAACTATTGAATACCTTTCCTTTAGTACTGAACCCCCATATTAAAAAATAAGACTCTATACTATGAGAAGGTAGATACAAAATTTGAAAATGTATTTATGATCAGCTCTCCTGTTTTGAATTTTATGTGCCACTGATGAATTGAATTCACAAATAGTTGATTTTTTGGGGGGCTTGATTTTTAATGTCTCTGAAAAACACGTCTCGTTATAATAGAGCAAGAGTCTGTGCATATATTACTTATTATAGAATGAACTTAAACACTTGACCCCCTGCCTCAAAAACAAGTAAATTTGCATGAATCATTGTGAATATAAAGTAGGTTGAAGTCTGTCTTTGTTAGAGGTGCTTCATAACAGAAAAAATTAACCAGGAAGAAGATGTGAGAGTTTACTGAGATAATACACTTCACCACTAACACTTTTTTACTACCATCTGAAGTTTTTCAGTTCTATTTTTTAGGATATTTTTATTACAGTCCTTAAGATCATTATGACTATAATTGCTCTTAAGAGTCCTCCATCCCCCAGGTACTATAGATATTCCATGAAGTCACAAAGGAATCACACCCAGAATAGTTAATGTTTCTAATCTGAGGAAGACCTAGATATGCCATTGCTTTAAAAAGAAAACAAGTAAATTTCCAACAGAAATATTCATTGCTACATGACACGTCAGACTTTGATGTAGCAGTTTGCACTATTCTTTCTTTATTTTGAAAATCAGTTGTAGAATGAAATGTCAGTGCTGAACCCAAATGACACCAAAATAACAGGGAGAGTTTTACCCAAGTAGGGACTATGATTAATGGTTGGTATTATTATTATTATTATTAACCCCTGTATATTAAAAATATTGATGTTACTAGTGATTCACTGATTTCATTTTTCTTGTGCTCTCTGTAGAAGTTTGTTTTCTCATGAAATAGAGGAATTTTCTCTGAGTACTTTGTGGACTTGGGCTTGATACATTTCAACGTTTAGCATTTTACATTTGTACCTTTCAATTTAAAAGCATTGCTTACTGTGTTAGTGTTGCCACTTCTTGTGATTTAAATTTCTTTCTGAATTAGTTTTCCTTATTGTTGAAGCCTCTGGAGTCACAGGATTATGTGAGATTTTTACCTTTCAATTAAAAAGGAAGTAGGCTTCTAGCCTTTAGGCTGGAAGGAATTAATCCAAATGGTATAATTCTTAATATCTTTTGATTTGGTGGTAAGAACTGTTGAAAAGGAAGTTCCTCATTCAGGATCTAGAAATGGTTGGGTTTTATGAGATTGTGAAGGGATAATTTTACTGACTGCTAAAGCAGAAGTTAATGGTTTTCATATTATTGGGAAAAACATCTTTTGCCTGAAATTTTCTCTGAGTTTTACAGTTTTCCTTTATCTTACCTTTTAAAGAAATACTATGATCTCAGGAACTGAAGGTATCGGTGTTAATGGGTAGTCATGAGCAACATGGTTTCATTTTGTATTTATTTGATTTTGACTCATATATTTTGGGCCAGTTTCCTGTGAATGCTTCCACTGAGACCTGCAGGTATAAGTCTACTAGGAAACAAATTCATAGAAGTTTTACAGTCCACTGTAAATCCTGACTTCACATAACCCAGGTGGAACTAGACACACCAGTAAGGAAAACAGGAGTTGACACTTTATGAAAAGACTCTTTGGGAGGGCTGGCAGCATGTGTTAGCCACAGCTGTAGCAAAGGAATAACATTTGGTCGTTTGAGTTTTGCAGACCCCACGTTTTCTTCTTAGTACACTGAACAGTGCCTGCAATGTTGTATGTATTCGGTCTATTGTTGTGACAAGACTGGTAGTGAAATAGGTCAGCCAAGACTGATGATAATTTTTAAGAGCGAATGGATTTTCTAAATCATCAATTATGGTACAATGAATGCAAAACAATAGTACAACAGTCTCTGGGAAATGTATATATTACTTTGCCCAGAAAAAGTGTTCATAAATTTATCCCTAAGCATACCTTTGCCATAATCATCTCCCTTCTGAGACTGATCATGAGACGGTTGCCTAAAAATACTGTTCAGATATCTTGCAAAACAATAATGAATAGTCTTTGAAGAGTTGCACAATAATTCATCCTGAGCATTGCAACTATTTATAAACTGCTCCAGATATGTACAGCTTCAGTGAAAAGAGAAATCGGCAGAACCTCCAAGCTGAATTTGAGTCTTCTGTTTGACTGGAGGGAGTGCATTCAAGGAGCACCAGAAACATGCAGGACTAGCCAGAAAAATACATTCACTCACCTATTGAAAGGATGTGTCCTTGTCTTTGCAGAGCTGAATCAGCCTGAAAATATTTTATCTTTGTGTTTGATGTGCTTTTCCCCCAGGATGTTTAAACTATTTTTCCATTAGCTGTCTAAGAGTTAAGGAGCAGGTTCAAGGGAATATAAATTGTTTTCTTAGATGTATGAAAGCACTTAAGTACAGGAATGAATGAAGAGCTATATATACAGGTTATACTGTATAAGGACAAATCCATCTGTCCATTTTTCAGTAACATGTCCAATCATGTGGCCCAGAGAGGGTATGTCACACTGAGCCATCACATGGCAAACTAGGTATCACTGAGATTTGGCTTACTATATGTCATCTGTCCATCACTCTTTGTCAGCTTTAGTCACTGCAGTGCTGCCTTTAGATAGCCCAGCAAGCACTGATCTATGCTGAGGAACAGCTTGTTCAGTAATTGTATCACAAAACATGGCAATTACCTGGTTGCTGCAGCAAGACCACTTGGGTTCCTGAACTAAACTAACTTCAGAGGAGTTAACTTGGGTACCTCTACTCTGTGCTAAAGTGTAGTGCAGAAATGCCTGACATAGTTATATAGCCTTCTGTTTGTCTGAA